TGTGAGCCAGGTGGCGTGCCACAAGTTTAGAGAGTGGTGGCCGGTGAGAAAGTTGATACCGAAGCGTAGTTTCATTGACAGAGATATATTACCCCACAACCCTGACGTGCAGAGACAGTTCAGAACTAGAGTGGGTTGGGAGCACTTCTTAGATGACTGTGTGGACACCAACGAACACATGGTCAAAGAGTTCTATTGCAATGTAGCCCACATCCAAAAGGGCTCAAAAGTGACCAAGGTTCGTAATAAGACAGTGTTGTTTGTAGGGAAATACCTCAACGAATACTTTCAATGAGGAGGATGAAACTTTATACATGGCAAAGTTGGAGATGGGCGAGGAGGTCCGTCCATGGTTAGCTCAGTACCTGGCAATCCCAGGTACCGTTCCTGAGTGTTTGACTGCTGGGGTCAAAATATTGCGGAGGACCTTAAACTTTGAGGCGAGGAGTTGGGAGACGTTTGTTTGCAGCCGGTTGGATCCTACTACACATGACCAGACCTTTCCTCTCCACCGGCCTGTATTGGTTGCTTCGATTATGGCAGGATACCTCATAAATGTGGGGAATGTGATGTCCCGCATTATCTCGCTAGTGGGAGCAGAGCATGACCGGAACTACCCTTTCCCTAGCACCCTCACTATGTACTTTTGGGACTTGGAGGTGGACAAGAAGCCCTACGACGTCAAGGTCAAGGCGACAGCCCCGTTCTCCTGGGATAGCTTGAAGGGGAATGACAACCCCAGGGACAAGAACTACAAAGCCCCTACTTCTGCCCCAACCGGCCAGTCTGAAGAGCCAGTTGTGGTAGAGGTCCCTGCTGAGCCTACCTCCACTTCTACTGACATTCCTCCTGGCCCTTCCACATCAGCAGGCCCGGAGATCCCATCTACCCGGACCCATCCCATCACTGCCCACCGGCTGAGCCAGGCCCTGCTGAGTATAAATAACTGGATGCAGACTGCCTCATCCAAGTTGTCCATATTGACTGTTACTGTAGCGACTCAGTCGGCACCTCAGCCAGCACAGGTCCCACAGTCGATAGAGGATGCTTTGAAGGAGATACTTGAGAACTAGAAGAAAATCCTCACCGCTCAGGATGCATTGGCCAAGGCAGTCGATTCGCACAGCAAGGCTCTCAAGGAGCTTGCTAAGGAGCATAAGAAGCTGCGGAAGACACGGGCCTCCAAGGATTCCGTGAAGGAGCTGCGGGCAGATGTTGATAGACTGAAGGCAGACCACCTGCCTTTGGACCTGTTGGTTGATGTTCCAGTCCCAGCAGCTCATCCACAGCCGGAGCAGACCCTGAGGCCTCCGAAGAGGAGGAAGATTCCTAGAGCAGATGATGCCATCATCCAGTTGGCAGACCCACCGGAGGCTTCCTCCAGCCAGCCACAGGATGTACCAGTTCCAGAGCCTGTCCAGGTCAGGCCCAGGTCCCAGTAGCAACAGAGCAGACCACCGGGAACCAGTCTGAGGTTCCCGAGCGCACAGAGGACCCAGGGACCCCCATGATCCTATGCAGACAGACACGGATTAGGGAGTCTTCTATATTCTTTTTCTATATTTTTGGTGCTTATTTAGACTAGTTGGCATTGGGGACAATGCCAGCTTTCATTTGAGGGGGTGAGCCCTACATTTTTGTGGATGACTGTATATATTGATATTTTAATGCTTTCTTGACTTTTCACATTTTGGTCTGTATATAAAGTTACATTTCATTGTATGTATTCTTCCCGTCTATTGTATATTCAAATCCCCTCTTGTATATATTTATTCTATTTTCTGCAAAAAATTTCCTTTTTAGCTTCTTAGCTTCTTATTTGTGATTCGTAGCTTTTTGTTTTCGGAGTTTTCAATAAACCTTTGGTTTTCTTAATGCCACGGTTCTTTTCAAAGGTGGAATGTTGTGTGAACCGGGTGGCTCTTCCCAATGATAGATGGCGTGACAAACTTCTTAAGGGTTTGAGTCCGTTTTTCTTTTTGTTTTTAGTAGTTTGTAGTTAAGGGTACCTCAAGCAAAGCTTCACTTGGGCCTAGCACATTTGCCTTTGATCTTATGGTCAAAAACAAATTGTTGTGTTTAGGATGGTGAAAGTCGTGACCTTGAGACTCTTGTGTTGACCGATGTTCATCAAGTGGTTTTTCTGGACCATTGTGGGCCCCCGACTCTATGTCTTTAGCAATCCCTTAGCTTGTGTGGTGAGTAATTGAATTGCGAGTCCAAGTCCCGAGCCAATGGTCTAGGACTTGCCCTGAATGTTTGTTGAGGCGAAATCCTAAGTGAATTTTGACTTGAGACGTGATTATAGGCTCTCCTTGATCCAAATGATAGATTGAACAATTCCATAGCCTACCAATGATAAGATCCCTAGTGCTCCTTTTGAGCCTTAGACCTTTTTCTTTCAAGAACCATGATACAAGCCTATACCCGTTCTAAAAAGATACCCTCTCTTGGCACCCAAATCTTTCCTTTAGCACATGGCAAAGGTATAAGTTTTGGGAGGAGAGACGAGGATTGCAACAAAGTGGTAAAAAGGCACAAAAGTGAAGAAAAGGAAAGGCAATGAAAAAGAAAGAAAAGCAAAAAGACAAAAAGGTGCAAAAGACTACAAATGGATTCAAGAAAAGCAAAAAGACAAAAAGGTAAAAAAGACTACAAAGGGATTCAAGAAAAGCAAAGAAAGAAAGGTGTGGAAATTTGAAAAAGGAGAAAAGGTTTGAAATGCATAAGAAAGAGTGACAATGTGTCTCTCTAACCCCTTAGAAAGAAGTGAAATGACTCAAAGAGTCAAGTGAAATTGTGCCAAATGAATCAAAAGAAGTGCTTAAGGGAAGATGGAACCCACTTGAACAAAAACTTGTCCTACCCTAAACCAAAAGCCTTCACAATGACTCCACAAAAGCCCTATATGATCTTGAGTCGAATGAAGCTTACATTAGTGGATACTTACATAAGGGGCAAGCATATGGTACTTAGAGCCGGACTTGTGACATTTCCTTGAGAGAGATGAGTGAATTTCTAATAACCTCGTTTTGTGTGCCAATATTCTAAAGGTGAGGTTTGCTTAGGGAGAGTTGAGGATGTGTGAGTTTGGGTTCCACAATGACCAAAGTAATTGAAAGAGTTCTTTGATGTGTTGAGTCAACTCTTGATGCTCTTGTGTCGCACTTGATCCATGGTTTTTCAAAGGTTAAATGTTGTTTATGATTCATTTGTATTGAGGGCAATTGTTAGTCCCTATTGATGCTAGTTGAGGTTGCTTTAGGACAGCTGAAAATTTCTTGGATTTTCCCTTAAGGGGTGGGTCTTATTTTGTTTGCTTGAGGACAAGCAAAAGCTTAAGTTTGGGGGAGTTGATAACTAGGGATTTTGACGCATTTTATACCCCTTTGTGCTTATGCTTTGATTATAAATTCATACAAAATAGTCCCAAAAGTCTCATAAGTTGTGCTTGATTGCAGGTTTGATCAACAAAGTGACAAGATGTCAAAGATCAGCTCAAAAGGAGTGAAACCTGCACAAGTACCAAAAGACAAGACAAACTCAGGAAAAATAGGCCTAGTGCGGCCGTACTACACTTTGTGCGGTCCGCACTAGAGAGGTTTAAAGACTCAGCATTTTAGGCTTCGAAGCAATCCGCCGCACTAAATTTTGTGCAGTCCGTGTCGGACCTCCGCGGCTGCACTACCATTCTGTGCGGTCCGCAGAGGCAAGGTTCAGAGAGATGCCAAGTGGAAAGATTCAAGCCTGTACGGTCCGCGGTCAACTTTGTGCGGACCGCGCAAGAAGCCTCCGCGGCCGCAGGCCATTCTGTGCAGACCGCGAAGCCCGGGTTCAGAGAGTCGAAATTTCAAGTTCAAGAGCCTAGTGCGGCCGCACACCATTTTATGCGGTCCGCACTGATCCCGTAGGGGCAATTTTGTCCAGTTTTTCCAGCTTAGTATAAATAGATTCTTTTTCCATTTTTAGGGCATCTGACGTTGTAATACAGTAGTTGCGCTCGTGAGAAGACTTTTCTTAGCCATTTTGGTGTTTTTACTGAGCTTTAATCGTTGAATCTTTGTATTTACATTAGTAATTAATTAATATGTCTTTCTCTTCATCTATTTCTCTGATTTTCTCTTCAAGCATGAGTAGCTAGACCCATTAGCTAGGGTTGTGGCTCAACCCTTGTGTGGGTAATTGATGGGTGTTATGATTTAAGGTTAGATTGACTATGGTTGTTTGTTATTTGGGTTAATTTTATAGTTTAATTTATGAATTAGTGGTTGCAAACACTAGTTTGTGCTAAGTTGACTTGGGCTCTTCTTGAGAAAGAGAGCCTAAGTCTCCAAAATTGACTCAACAAGGAATTGGGATGGACTCAAGAGATTTGAAGTCCCAATTAAAGGGTTAAACCTCGAGAGAGTAATACCCGACTTGAACCCTAGTTGCTTGGGAAAATATGCATACCTAATTGGTCTTGAGAGAGTCAATTGGGCAAAACCACTCTTTCTACCGAGAGGTGTAGAGTGGGTAGTATTGAGCAACGGTTATAACATATTTCCCCAATCATGTCAATCGTGCCTTGGATGCAATTACCCGTCAATTAGCCACCTAGGTGAAAGTCACTACCCTAGTGCCTTTTTAAACCATTAGATACAGCATGTAGCAATTTACTCTTAGTCTAATTTAGTTGCAATTATAATTTGTAGATTGATCGTAGTAGAATATAAAGAAAAACCAAAAATGAATAGAAGACCAATTAAGAACACATACGCAATCCTAAACTAGATAGATACTCGATTCCAATTCTAGCTCTCTATGGATTCGATCCCGACCCAAAATCGGGTAAAAGCTATTGCGACCCTCTCTTGCTACTTATTAGTAGTGTGGAGTTGGCTGCGATCACACATCAGCAATATAATAATAATAATAATAATAATAATAATAATAATAATAATAATAATAATAATAACAACAATAACAATCCTGGAGCTACACGGCGACAGGGTCAGGTTATGCCTCATGAAAGGCAACAAGGGTACAATCAGCAGAATCAACAACTAGCTTATCAACAACCTCAATTGCAACAGATAGTGCGACAAGATGATGGGTTGTTTGAAATTAAAGGAATGCTGCAACAACTCATTGGGTCCAGCGGGAAAATGGAAGAAAAGTTCCACCAGATGCAAGAAAAGGTAGTACCACACGACTCAGCTACCAAAGGCATTGAGATTCAACTAGGGCAGATATCGATGTCTCTGAATAATCATCCCCAAGGGACGTTACCTGCGGACACACATGGCAATCCAAGAGAGCACGTTCCAAAGCAGCTTATGGCGGTGAGTCAAAGAAATGGTAGAGATCTTGATCTAGAGCAAGAAATTGCTCGCGAAAGACGACCAACTGAGATACTTGTGTCAGTGCCAATTAAGGTAGATGAGTCAAATGAGCTAACAGAAGTAAGAGTGCAGCCAGCCCAAGAGTATCTAAACAAAGAAAAAGAGGCTGCAAAGGAGACTGACAAAGGAAAAGAAAAGGAAATTGAACAGCTCCCAGAACAGGTAGTGGAAAAGACGTCTAATCAGGAAAAGACACAGAGCAGTGGACATAAGCTGATTCCAACACCATTCCCTCAAAGGTTGGCAAAGCAAAAGAAAGATGATCAATACAGGAAATTCATGGAAATGCTCAGACAAATTCAATTGAATATTCCGCTGATGGATGCTTTGAGGAAAATGCTAGGCTATGCGAAAAATGATACAGGATCTGGTGTCTGGAAAGTTTGAGTTCTAGGACCTGTCCACTATAACTCTGACTCAAACTTGTAGTGCGGTAGTGACCCGACCTATGGCTCAAAAATTGTCTGATCCCGGTAGTTTCACTATCACATGCACAATTGGAAGTTATGCTTTTGCTATAGCATTGTGTGACTTGGGAGCTAGTATTAACTTGATGCCCTTAGCAATCTACACAAAGTTAAGCATGGCAAAACTAGACCGACCTCAATGTTGCTACAACTGGCTGATTGCATAGTGAAAAGGCCGACATAAATTCTGGATGATGTGCTCGTCCAAGTGGGGAATTTTGTATTTCCTGCCGATTTTGTGATTCTTGAATACCAGTTTCATGAAGAAATATCCATAATTTTGCGAAGGCCTTTCTTAGCCACTCGAAGAGCGTTGACTGATTGTGAGACTGGAGAGTTGAAAATGTGGTTGAATAATGAAGAAATAATATTCAATATTCAACAGTCTATGAGGAGGCCCATCGAATTTGCAAATTGTTCGCTAGTGGAGGCAGTTGATGTGATACTACAAGAGGAGGATGCGTCTCTTAATGTCAGAGACCCGTTAGAAGTTTGCTTGATGAATTTGGAAGATGTGGATGGTGAAGAGTTGGCAGAGCGGGTCATGGCTCTCAAAGGTCATGGGTTCTAGAAAAGGGAACCCCAGTTCGAGCCACTACATTTAGAAGAAAGAGAAACACCACCTACGAAGCCATCAATAGAGGAGCCACCACAGTTGGACCTGAAATCGCTTCCAGCTCACCTCAGGTATGTTTTCTTAGGGCCCAACTCTACTTTACATGTTATTATCTCATCCGTTTTATTAGCTGTGCAGGTAGAACAACTCCTACAGGTGTTGTAGTAACGTAAGACAGCTATTGGTTGGACCATGGCAGATATAAAGGGTATCAGCCCGGCCTTTTGCATGCACAAATTCTCTTAGAAGTGGTGAAGAAGGAAGTGATTAAGTGGCTGGTGCAGGCCTCATTTTTCTCATCTTAGATAGCGTCTGGGTAAGCCCAGTCCAATGTGTTCCGAAGAAAGGTGGTATGACTATTGTACAAAATGAGAATAATGAGTTGATCTCTACTCGTACAGTCACGGGTTGGCGAATTTGCATGGATTACAGAAAACTGAACACTGCCACCTAGAAAGACCACTTTCCCCTGCCATTCATTGACCAAATATTGGATAGATTGGCAGAGAGGTCTTACTTCTGCTTTTTGGATGGATATTCGGGGTACAATCTGATTACAGTAGCCCTTGAGGATAGAGAGAAAACGTCATTTACTTGTTCGCATGGCGTCTTTGCCTTTCGGAGAATGCGATTTGGCCTATGCAGTGCACCAGCCACCTTTTAGAGGTGTATGTTAGCCATTTTCACTAATATGGTTGAAGATATTATGGAAGTCTTTATGGATGATTTCTCAGTGGTGGGAAATTCATTCGAAGACTATTTTCACAATTTGAGAAGAGTTTTGAAAAGGTGTGTGGAGACAAACCCGTTGCTGAACTGGGAGAAGTGTCATTTTGTGGTACAAGAAGGTATAGTTTTAGGACTTCGAGTGTCAAGTAAGGGTACTGATATCGACCATGCTAAGGTTGACGTGATTGATAAGTTGCCACCGCCTACTTTGGTCAAGGCAGTAAGAAGTTTCCTTGGGCACGCAAATTTCTACAGGCGATTTATAAAGGATTTCTCTAAAATTGCTAACCCCTTATGTAAACTGCTTGAAAAGGATCAGCCCTTTGTGTTTTCTGATGATTGCATGTTAGAATTTGAGGAGCTGGAGAAAAGACTGGTGACTGCATCAATCCTCGTTGCACCCGACTAGGAGCGGCCATTTGAGTTCATGTGTGATGCGAGTGACTATGCTATAAGAGCAATTTTGGGGCAGCGAAAGGACAAAATGGTGCACCCAATTATTATGCAAGCAGAACGCTAACCGGTGCACAACTCAATTATACCGTGACCGAGAAAGAGATTGGTTCAAAAGTGATTATTTATACTGACCATGCAACACTTAGGTACTTGATAGCAAAGAAGGAGTCAAAGCCACGCTAAAGCTGTTGGGTTCTTTTGTTTCAAGAATTTGATTTGGAGATCCGCGATAGGAAAGGAACGGAAAACCAAGTGGCAAATCACCTTTGAAGGTTGGAGGGAGATGAAAAGAAAGTAGAGGTTGAAGATATAATAGATACATTCCCGGATGAACAATCACTAGCAGTGGCAATAGAGGATACGCCTTGGTATGCTGATATTGCTAACTATTTGGCTAGTGGTATTGTACCTTATGAACTCTCTTCCATTCAAAAGAAAAAGTTCTTTCGTGATTATCGATCTTATTACTGTGATGAACCTTTACTTTTTAAAATATATGTGGATAACATGATCCGGAGGTGTATCCCCGAGAAAGATCAATCTTCTATTTTGCAGGTTTGCAACGCTTTACCATATGGTGAGCACTTTGGAGGAATTCGAACAGCTGCGAAGGTATTGCATTCGGGTTTGTATTCTCTGACTTTATTCAAGGATGTCCATGCCTGGGCAAAAAGTTATGATGAGTGCCAAAGGAGTGGCAACATATCTCGCCGCCACGAGATGCCGATGAGTACAATTCAAGAGGTGGAAGTGTTTGACGTGTGGGGGATTAATTTTATGGGACCATTTATCAGCTCGTTTGGTAGCAACTACATATTGGTAGCAGTTGACTATGTCTCCAAATGAGTTGAAGCGGTGGCTCTTCCAACAAATGATGCCAAGGGAGTGATAGGATTTCTAAGAAAAATTATTTTCACACGGTTTGGAACTTCGAGAGCTATAATCAGTGCTGGTGGAACCCATTTTTGCAATAGAGCGTTCGCAAAGCTGTTAGAAAAGTATGGAGTTCGCCATAAGGTTGCCACACCTTACCACCGGCAAACGAGCGGGCAAGTGGAAGTTTCCAACAGGGAAATCAAAAGTGTCATGACCAAGACAGTGAATGCGACTCGGACTGATTGGGCAAGGAAGTTGGATGATGCTTTATGGGCTTACCGCATAACATTTAAAACTCCAATTGGTATGTCTCCGTACAAGTTGGTGTTTGGAAAAGCATGCCATCCTCCGGTGGAAATTGAGCATAAAGCCTTATGGGCACTGCGGCAGTTGAATTTGAATATGGAAATCGCGGGCACAAGTAGAGTTACAGAGCTACATGAACTCGAGGAATTCCGGTTCCAAGCATTCGAGAGTACGAGATTTTACAAAAAAAGGATGAAGATGATGCATGATAAGCACATTCTAGATAGGAACTTCAAACCTGGAGATCTAGTGTTGTTATACAATTCGAGATTGAGATTATTTCCAGGTAAGCTAAAGTCAAAACGGTCAGGACCATTTAGAGTTGTGTAGGTGTTCCCAAGTGGAGCGGTAGAGATTGAGTCTGAAGATGGGACGAATAGGTTTAAAGTGAATGGGCAAAGGTTGAAACACTACCTTGGAATGATTGAAGAAAAAGAGGAGAAAGATGTGATGTACTTGGAAGAGCCCCAATATGTGAGCAAAGTGTAATCCTAAAACCCTGCGTCGTGCCGCAACGTTAAATCAGGCGTTTCTTAGGAGGCAACCAATGCTCGTGTTGTATTCTTCATGTCATGACGTTAACTAAGGCGCTCAAAGGAAGGCAACCCAATTCATAGCGTAGAGTTAGTTTAGTTTTAGTTTTTGTTTTTATTTAATATTGATGCGGACTAACAAGTGAGTTTGGTGTGAATTTGAAGTGTTTTGATAGGTTGTGGAGCTACGTGGAAGGAAGATGTGCTTGGGTGTCCTAAAGAAGCTAAAAGGTTGCAAAACGAACAAGAAAACATCGATCCATCACGAGGCAAAGTCCAAATGGTAAGTTTTGAATGACTCACGTTGCCTAGCGAGGCAATGGCCAAACACCGCCCCAGTCCCCGCCCCACTCTGAAATTTCAGCGCCTCCTATCACTCCTCACACTGTCCAACGCGCTAAGGCCACCGCGCCTGATGGCGCCTCGCGTAAGGCCTTTGTCGCAGCCCACAATGCCTCGCGCCAAGGCCCAGGTATGTCTTTAATTTTTATTTATTTAGCCCACCCCAACCCAATTGAAATAACAACAACATTAAAACCCAACCCCCACGCCCCAACTTCTAAAACACAAAGAAAGCAACACCTCTGCCTAACGCCTAGCTCTACTATCCCGTTTCTAAAGAGACAAGCGATTTCAAAGTCCGTCTCTCTTTCTCAAAGACCACCTCACTGCCTCGCCCGCTCTTCCTCATTCCCAGTATGATTTTGTTCTCTTTCTCACTCTCATATGTACTCTTTTTCTTGTAAATTCTAGTTTGTGGGAAATATGTTTTACAAGGTGCAACAATGGTGTAATTGTGCTACAAATTTCCCAACCACAAATACCCCATAGGATATCTTGTGATTGTTGTAACGAGTGTTTCACACTCGACTCCCAAGCCGATTTGGGAGGGTGGAGCAATCCTTCACCCACAAAGAATCTCACACACAAATAATGCATACAAGGTGTTCGATAAATTGCCTCATTGGCAATTTTAGTCCCAATTAGAGCCCGAGTCTCTGTGATTAACTGTTTGGTGTTAGGTGAGCATGATTATATGAAAACCTAAGTGTGGGGTAACTCTACGGAGTCGGGGTGGATTGATAAAGTGTGTTTTCAATGACATACAGGCTATGTATAGTACCGAGATTTCGATGCTAATACACTTACTTGATGAAGGTGAAGTCTAAATAGCCTATGGTTTAAAGTGATTGGCATATCTTAGAGCTTTAAGTGTGGGGTCACTCCGACCTATTTTTTTGATAGTTTTTGTTTACTTCCATTGACAATTGGTATGGTTGACAGGTACATGCAAAATGGGTCGTCCAACAGCGAGTTCTAAGGCACCGGCTAAGTCCAAGGCACCATCAAAGGATAAGGATACCTCGTCAGGCCCACCGCCAAAGAAAAGGACTAGAGTTGAGGCTACGTCTGGTAGTCATAGTGGTAAAGGAAAGCAAGTAGCTTCTTCTTTTACCGGGGCACAACCTCAAGAGAGAGCAACTCGTGAGTATGGCATCAAGAGTGTGCCCCCATATGGGAGAGCATTTTATAGGAAGTGTCGCACAGACTCATATCTCCCTGATTTTGCAGTTGATGAGCACAAATTGAAGTCCCGTTACCCTAAGATTTGGGAAAAAGTACATGAACTAGGATTGGGTTTTGTATTTAAAAATCCGGGAGAAGCAAACTTAAGCTTAATGCGTGAATTCTGTGCCGGGTGGAACATTGAGGATAAGGAGAAATTGGTACCTATTCGTGGGAGGTTGATTGATATTTCGGCAACTGCATTATGTAGATTTGTGGATGCCCCTGATGTCCCATGTAATCCGTTGTGTGACTTTATTGACCGGCCTACTTACAGAAATAATAGGCACACACTATGTGGTGTTAATTCGAATGTTGTGTGGACACGGGACAAGAGATACAACACCCGTACTTCTTTGCCTAAAGTGAAGTTTACGAAAATTGCTAAAGTATGGTTGTGCTTGGTGAATGCGAGACTACTTCCGTATGAGCATGATTCTGTTGTTGTTCGAAAAAGAGTATGTCAAGTGTATTTCTTGATGAAATGGT